TCTGGGAAGAATTATTCTATTCATGGCCCCATTCATTGATGGAAATGAAATTTCTCCCTCTCTTGGACTCAGAGAACCCTTTATGAAAAGGCTGTTGTAGAGATGAACCAGGGTCCTTCAGGATAAGACAGGCCATTGGTCCTCTGTGAGATCCTGGCCTTCTGGCTAGCTTCTGTCCCAGAGCGGCAGCTGAGGTTCCAGAGAAGGAGCCTAAGTTGGGAGTCTTAGGCCCTGGGTTCTAGTCCTGCCTTTGCCACTATTTGTTAAGTGACCTTGGGAAGTCCCTTGCCCTTTCTGAACAGCTAAACATGTATCTGGCTCTTGTAGGTAGGGCAGGTATGACAAACTGGGACCTCTGAGCATTTTCCAGACATAAGATAGAATCCCCAGCTCGGGAGACTGACTGGTGCTTGGCCTGAACCTTAGAAGAACAGAATTAGTCCCAGCCAGTTGGGGTGTTTTGGGCCTCATTTCTCGGAGTCTGGTTAGCTGGTCGTGGCCACCACCCCAGTCCTGGTTCAAGCAGACCTGGAGGACTCCTGAGCACAGAAATCATCCAGCTTTTCTCCTCACACTTGTCCTAAGCTCTGGGTCCTCCTTTCTCCTGGCTGACTGTCCCTTTCTAGATGCAGCTCCATGACCAGCAGGTACTTGGTGCTATGCCGACTGCTTCAGGTCTGGGGGTGCTAAGAAGCAAAGTCCCCACCCCCACCCCACCAAGGCTGGACCTTTTGTTACTATGGTAGCTGTTGCCTTGGAAGCTGCTTCCCCGACTTCAGCTTCCAAACGGTTCAGGAAACTGCTCATCCCCCAGGGGGTTGTTGAATTAATCACAGAGTTCTCACCCCTCCAGGAAAATAAACAGAACTAAAGCAAGCAGGGGCCTTTTCTCCTACTTTTCCTTTCTGTCTCCATGCCACATTTTGGACTTGGTACCTCTGCAAAAGAAAGGACGTGGACACTCTCCGCATGGCTCAGGAGGAAACAGTGTGATCTTGTGGTGGAACTCAGAAACAGACCCCCTGACCTGGCCACACCCTGACCAGAACCTCAGCCTGAGTCCTGTAGCTTCCAGGACCTCTTAGGCTTTAGAGAGGGGACTTGTTGCTAGAAAGCAGTGGGAAAGGAATGAGGGTGATCAGGCTCTAGTGCCTTGGGCTTCACTGCTCAGTGTCCCCACAGAGAGGATCTTTGAACTCAATAGTGAGTACATCACCCCAGGACAAACATGGATTTCCTATTTTATCGCTAATACAGCCCAAATCTATGCTGAAGAAAGAATTAGTAAATGTCCTCTCTCTGTTTTTAATCCATGGTGGAACAGGAATTTCAAAAGAGTTTCAGCATCCTGTAATGAAGCTCTTCTCCAGCCTGTCAGGGACTTGACAGATTCTTTGAAATACACTGTCTCGCTCTGATGGTGGGGTTACAGTTGCTCCCACCTCAAGACAAGGTGGAAATGCAGGGAGGAGACAAGCTACAGTAGTTCATCCTATGTGAGTGGGGAACCTGAACATCTGAGTCCCATCCTCGAGCGCCCTCCCCATCTCCACACTCTCGGTTTCCCTTATGTTCAGTAAAGGAGCCAGAGTGGCTCTGGCTCTGTGACTTTGCAATTCTTGATGACTATGTGTGTCTCTTGCAGATTTCCTCCCCCGACTCTTTCTGTGCCCTGAAGAATTTACAATATCAAAGAAAAGCTCTGATTCAGAAGCTGGTCTCCAGGTTTGGGGAGTTGATGTGTTCTTCCAGAATCTGAACAGATGCCCCAATCCAGTCTTAGTACTCCCATCCCGATTTGTCAGATGAGAAAGTAGAGTACAGGCAGTAGAATGGTTTGCCCACGTCCCAGAGCGTGTAGGTGACAGAAGAGGGGTTGGAAAACACCGCTCAGAGGGACCTCTGTCTGGCTGCTGCTGTAGGAGAGCAGCGCTCAGCTCACTGCTACATTGTGCAGACACATTGTGGGGGTGAGGAGCGCGTTGGTGGGTGTTCAGATCCCCAAAGCTGGACGTGTCAGAAACATATTTTCATGGACAATTATTTTGGCTGCTCCTTCTAAAACTAGTCAGCAGAGGATCAATTATGTGTGACAGAGACATGGGCTGTCATTTGATGCCTAATTAGAGGAATAATCAGACCTCATTCTGGTAGGAGGAATGGGGGATATTGACAGCAGGCTTCTTTGCCTAAGGAGAGTCCTACTCCGGAGACATCCTTGAGGGGGCCAGGAACACAGTCTGAAGGCCTATTTGTGCTCTGCAGTCGCCTCTCTTCATCCGTTCTGTGCTCACTCTTGCCCCTCCAGCTTCCTGACAGTGCTGTTCCTCAGCTCAAGCGACCCTGACCTTGGCCCCACCATACCAGATGAAAACCTCTTACTAGAATCCTTGGTGCCCACAGTCCTCCCTTCTGTCGCCTGAATCAAGGTGGTTGTGCAGGTCCCAGGCCTCCCCCAGAGCTCTGTCCTTCTGTCCAGAAGTCTAGCTATGGTCCCTTCTGGACCTTTCCAGCTGTGCTGCTGTTGTTAGGTGCTGTCAAGTAAACTAAACTGATGGTGACCCTATAAAAGGAAGATCTGACTTTGCCCTATGCCATATCATCATCATCACCACCACCATCTGCACTATGCTCAAGTTCATGGTTGCAGTCACTGTGTCAATCCATTTCCTTGAAGGTCTTACTCTTTTGCTCACCTTTGCCAAGGACTGAGCCCTCCTGGTAACACACCCAAAGTATGCAAGATAGAGCTTCCCCAGCCTTGCCTCTAAGGAACACTCTGGTTGTACTTCCTCCAAGACAGATTGGTTTGTTCTTTTGGAAGTCCATGATATATCCAACACTCTTCACCAACAGCACAATTCAGAGACATCAATTATCCTTTTTCATTGTCCACCAATTTTCAGATGTTGTTGTTATGTGCCGTCGAGTAATTTTCAGATACAGAAAATACAATTGAAAAGACCGTATCTTGATTCAGGCACACTTTGGTCTTTAAACTGACATCCTTGCTCTTTAGCACTTTTCAGAGGGACTTGAAGGCACATTTTCCCAGTATAACATGTCTTTTGATCTCTTGACTTCTGCTATCATGAGTATTGATAGTGTATCTAAGTAAAATGAAATTGTTGACAACTTTTCCACCTGTGTCATCCAACTTTAAGTCCTCCTTAAACACTCCCTGAATCTTCCTTTGAGGAGTTCATAGTCTGTCTACTAGGGGGAGTAGAAAAGAAAAAAACAGTGAAGGGACCTGAGAGCAGTAGTGACAGCTCCCCCTACTTGGGGTGATCTGAAAATTTGGAGACATTCTCTATGCTGTTAGGGGCCAGGCAGCCACTCTGAGGAGAGAGAAGTAGAGGAAAGGAGTGAGGATAAAAAGGAAGAGGAGCATCTTGGAAGAAGGTGGAAGCAGAAGAATTTGAAGCTGGTTATATCAGGCTGCAGACAGAGTGGAGCAAAGGGGAACCAGGAAGGCCTGTGAGGCTAGTGAGGTAACTCCAGTAGGGGTTCTTGGGAGCTGTACCTAGATACAAAGCTAGGGACAAGCATGTGTTCTGGGATTAGGAGATCTCTGATCCACATAGGGCCATACTGAAACTGAGCCCTCTGAAACAGAGCTCAGGACTAGCTGGGGTGGGTTACCACTCTTGGATCCTACAAGTCAGTCAGAAAGACTATGTTAGAGGTACTCTGTCCAAGAGACTGAGAGATCTGTTAGCCCAGATCAGGAACAGCGTGGTCAGGAACTACACTGTTAACTACGCTGTTAACCCAAAGACATGCAGTCCAAATCCACCAGCTACTCCACACTAGAAAGATGGGCAGTCTCCTCCCATATGATTTACAGCCTGAGAAAACTGCTGGGAGGTCAGCTATGACTAAGCTCTGACTCAATGTCACACAACAGCAACATCCAGGAGGCCAAGAGTCTCTTACTCCCAGCTCCCTGACACCAATCCTGCTAATTTTCCTTCCTAACACTCTTCTTCCTGCTCCATGCCCACCACCACCACAGCCACTCCCCCTGCTACTGCACTTTCCTGTCTGCCCTAGGCTGGGAGGGTGAGGGAGGGGGAGCAGAACTGGAATCTCAACCCACTGGCAGCAGAAAGGGGGGACAGGTACCAAGCGAATGAATGAGTGAGACTCCTGAGATCAAACCTCAAACTGGGACCTTCAACTCTGCCTGGAATCCCAGAGATTGAAGGGGTAGTGAAATGGAGAAGGATGGTAGGAAAGGAACGGGCAGAGTAAAGAGGGGCCAGTCCCATCTTTCTCTGTTCTTGTCTCTTGAGCATTGTCTGTTTCCTCTCACGCTTTAATCTCAGAGGCTCAAAGCATAGGCCCCCAGGGGTACTTCCAAACCAGGGGGCAGATCACAATCAAGTGGGTCCTGAGCACATGAAGCCTTTCGCCTCAGGAACCAGCAGTGGAACTTGGGCTGGCTGCCCCAGTGGGCCTCCAGGACCGAGGCAGCAGCTCGCATTGCAACCTCATGAATAACTCAGCACCTCCCCGCTGTGCACACCCCCCTTTAGCCCCCCCACTGCGCAGCTTTAAATTTTAATCAGCTAAGACTAGGTGGCAACTGAGTAGGCTCTAGGGGGTAGATGCAGGGGGAGCTTGATGTGAGCTCTCCTGGGAGGAGGCTGACGGGAGGATCCTGTGGATCAGGACCAGCACCCCAGAACTCTGAAAGCCAAGGCAGACATGTGGCCAAGCAGGGTCCCTGAGGGTGACTCCAGCCTCAGAGACCTTTAGGAGAGGAAGAATAAGCTGAGGGTTGCCTGGTGGAGACCTATGCCACAGCAGGTCTGGAAACCCTTAGGATTGTTGTTATGAGAGAGAGTTGCAGATAAATTCAAGAGTTACAAGGTCAGCATTTACTACCCAGAAATACCTGTCCTGAAGGTGAAGCTCCAGTAAAGGCTGAGAGCCCCAGGTCTTGTCTGGGGACAGGCCCTACCAGGCGGAGGCAGTGCCCTGGACAGGCCTGCATGGACATCCCCATCAGCAGCAGAGACTTCCGCTGCCTGCAGCTGGCCTGCGTGGCCCTGGGCTTGGTGGCTGGCAGTATCATCATCGGCGTCTCCGTGTCCAAAGCAGCAGCTGCCATGGGCGGCGTCTTCATTGGTGCTGCTGGTCTGGGTGAGTGAGTACTGAGCAAGGGAGCAGGATAGGCTGGACAGAGGCACGGCTAGGTGAATGGAGGCAGGGCTGGGTCACGGGACATTGAGTTGGGGGAAATAAGAGTTAGAAGTGTGTGCTGGCCTGTCACTGGGGGCACGTGAGGGAAGGAAGGTTAGTGAAGCTCCTTGTCATGGCTGCTGGGGGTGAGGGGCTGTGGAGGAGAGACCTGGGTGTCATGGACACCTCCACTGTGGAGCCTTCCCTGCTGACCTCAACACTGAAGCCCTAGGCTTTTGGGTTTGTGTTGGATTCACAAGCCTATTTGAGATGGAATTGATGGAGTCAGATAAAAGAGGACAGAGTCTCCAGTGGGACCTTCTGTGTCAAGATGGAATTCAACTCACATGAAGAGTGTTCCTTCTTTCCCTGTTGGTCTCAGCAACAAATTTGTCTGGCCAGCCATCTGTCCATCTTTCTGTCTGGACTAGCACCACTGATAAACCCACTGTCATGCTGAGTGCTGTCACTTAACCACACACACACCCTCTGACCTACAAGCAAATAGCTCTGGGAGAGTGGGATCCGAAAAGCAAGAGTGAGCAGGGTAGGACCCCCTCTTCAGCCACTCCTTCTCCGCTGTGGGTGAAGGGGAGCAAGCTGAGAGGGGCAATCAAGCTGCAGTTAGGGGAGACATGGTTGTGGTGGTGGCAACAGCAGGGCCAACCAGCCCAATGAGAGGGAGAGTCAACTTGCTTTCCACCTGGGCAGGGTGGACCTGGAACTGGGGCTCCCCTCCCCAGAGCACTGTGCTATCACAGACCAAGAACAGAAGACCCTTGGCAGCCCCACCAAGACACGGAGGGGCAGCAGGGGAGAGCTGTACCACACTCACCCATAGGCCCACATTTACACGCCCATGGACACAACCTTGCACACTCATGCTCCTCTCAAGCACACTCAAACCCAGGGTCACATCCACCACAGCCTCCCCCACATCACACTGACAAGGCCCCTCCAACACTGAACCCCTCTGTGCCCTTCTTCTCAGGGCTCCTCCTCTTCGCCTACCCCTTCCTGAAGGCTCGGTTCAACCTGGACCACATTCTGCCTGTGATAGGTGAGTCTTCTCCCCGCCTCCAGCAGACCCTCTACCAAGGACTAGACAAGACCTTTTTGCATTTGTCTGTCACCCACTGTGCAGACAAGCAAGCCCACGTGTGTGATCACTCCTGGCTTTGTGTGTTGGAGTTTCTGTGTGTGTGTGTGTGTGTGTGTGTGTGTGTGTGTGTGTGTGTGTTTGCAAAGTGTTGCCATGACTACAGCACAGAGGACTCTAGCCTGCCACTAAGGTACTTGATGGCGCCTAGAGCTCCCATCTCCCTCAAGAGATTCTCCATCTTCCCCAAACCCACAAGATATCCAGAGAACACTCTTCATCCTTGAACCCCATCTAGACCCAGTACCCCTAAGACACAGGACCCTTGTAGAGCTCCCTACTTTATCTTAGTTCCCACACAGATTTCATCAATCTTATCGTCAGAGTCTCCCCAGGTACTCCACCTCCTTTAAAAACCTGCCATCTTCTCCTTCAGGAGTCCATTTCCTCCCCCATTCCCAAAAGAGCCAGCCTAGATCATGAGGGGAACCAAAGGAAACTCAGTGGAGCAAAGACAGCAGCAAGGATGTAGATTAGACAGCAGGAAGGTTTTCTCTTGGACTTGATTGGAGTGAGAAGGTAATTGTGGGGCTTGGGGGTGGTCTCATCCTGCAGGGAACCTGAGAATCCACCCTCATTCAGGGCCAGACCGTGGAGAGGGAGGATCCAGTGCCAACAGCAATAAGGAGGGTAAGTTCCAGAAATTCCACAGTCCGTCTTTCCTGTTAGCTCTCTAGTTAAGCAGCACCCTGGTGCCCAGGGAGTCGCCTTGCAGAGGATGCAGAAAGGGCTGCCTCGTCTCAGGGAGTGAACACAGTTAGGTGGTTCTTCTTGTGTTTAATCAAAACCACTTTGCCCTTAAGATGAGCTTATTTCCTCTTGTTGGTCGGAGAGACTTCTCTGTCATGCCAGCATGGTTTCTGGGGGAGAGGGCATCTCACTGTCTCATCCATCCCCTCCTGTAGGTCCCATTCCCCAGTTTATTTTCCCCTGACCTTTTCCATTGTGGAATTTGACCCTCAGGGCTGGTACCTGAAACTGGGTATCTTCTAGATCCCCTTTCCCCACTTACTGGAAAATTCCAGGGCAGGAGTTTCTCAAAGGTGGCCTCAGCTCACAGTCTCTGCCCTAAAGGCAAGATGCCACTACTCAGCAAGAGGTCTGATCTAGACACTGTTCTAAGTACTTTACAGACATCAGCTCTTAACAACCATATGATCAGGCTCCAGAATTAGTCCCATTTCACAGACGGAGCAACTGAGGCACAGGGGAATTAAGAAATGTGCCCACAATAAGACAGTGAGGAAATGGTAAAGCCACCACCATATCTTAAGCTCCAGTAGTCCTGCCTCTATGCCCCACATGAAACAACTTCCCCTCTTGAAGGGCTGTTTTGTCCATCCCAATCCCTTTATACTGAAATGGCCCTCTCTCCTCATTCTATCCTATCTCTGCCCTGGGGTTACAAGACACCTCAACCCCTAACCCAAACAATGGGGATCTATCTACTCAATCAGCTTCTCCTTGTTCATACTGTCTTCCCTAGGAACTCGCAACAGTCTGTCCACCGTGAGCAGAACCCTGGAGAAGCTGAAGCCAGGGAGTCGGGCCACAGAGGAGGGCTAACAGGCTAGGCCTTGCCTCTGCCCTGTTCTCCCACACTACCTGCCATCCCACCTCAGAGCCCTCCAGTTAGAAGGTCCAAACCCTAGCTGAACCAGGCCCTGGAGAAGCCAGACCCATCCAAGACTCATCTTTCTGGATTCTGTGCAGCATGGGGCAGGCCCTGCCATGGGCATCCCAAGAGACCCCCACGGGGCCCTCCTGCTACAGGCTCTTCTCAGGGTTTTTCTCTCTAGACTGAAGACCAGCTTCCTTCCCTTTTTGATTTACTGAACAGTTTCTCCAGAATATGGGACCATGGGCCTTGGTAACAACCAGGGATATGCCAGTGGATATACATGCCCGAAGACCAGACAGAGACCGGCAGAGCCTCTCATGCCCCATCCTGAGTCTCTAGAACTCACTGAATAGAGAGCCTGGCTAGATTGTTTTCAAAATATCAAAAATTCCCTCTTTAATTACCCTGAGAGGACAGATCTTGGGCGGCAGCAGTGAATATGATGGGGGTCCTAGAGGAGAGGGACTCACAGAGGGACAGTCACAAACAAAATGATCCCCCCTATAACAAAGGACAGGGAGCTCTGGTGGTCTAGTGGTAGGGAGCTGCACTGCTGTCCCAGTTCAAATTCACCATCTGCCCCAAGGAAGAAGGACAGGTGATCAACTCCCCTGCAATTTACAACCTCTGAAAACATGCTGGAGGGTCAGTTCCAACTCAATGGTACATTAAAACATGACAAGGGACAGACAGCACATAACCTGGAGTGCACGTCTGGCCTGGAACCTGATGAGGTCTCCAAGAGGAGCTGACTCCCGAGCTGAGATTCTGAGTGTTTAACTTCACAGTTGCAGGCTTTCCATGTTTGGGCCCCAGCTATAGTACCAGCCCTCTTCTCTATGCTCCCAGAACAATCTAAACACATTCCCACCCCCAAGAGGGCCCAACCCTCACCTGTATCAAAATTCCCCACTTTTAAAATTCCAAGAACCCTCTTCACTTCCTCATCTGCTTTGACAGCCTGTGTGTCTCTTGCTTTCTTAACACTTTCCAGGCACAGCGGTATGGAGCCTACTTTTTTCACAAAACAAATATGAAGCACTTCCTACCTATATGGTTCTTTTCCAATCCTTATCACAGGGCAGGGCACATAGTAAATGCACAATAAACATCAGGGCATAGATTTAAAAGTAAAAACAATTCCCTCAGCTTTCCCTGGAGATCCACTTCAAGGTCTCATCAGGGTTTGGGTCAGAAGAAGACCTGGCCCACATAGGAGTACATGAATGTTGGGTAAATATTACTCTTCTTTCCACTCTACTCCTAATACATCTGCACCCTTGAGGTAGATCCGAGTCAAGTCACTTGACCTCTACAGAGAGATCTACTCCACAGGTCTTCTGCTGGGGTTTGGTAAGCAGGAGACACCCGACAGCAAGGATTCTTCTTCAACAATCAGTGTAGATGGCCCTGTCTCTTAGATGCCTCTCTTGACTTCGCAGCCCCCATAGCCCTGAGACTCCCCTCCATCACAGCACTCAGAATGGAGTTTCTCTCTCTCAAAGGTGGGGACGCAGGCCCAGGTACCCAGAAGACACTCAGTGGGTGCTAGAAAACCAAACCACAAAGGAAAGAGATCATCTCATTGTTCATATGGGAAAATTAATCCCTTCTGGTAAGTTAGCTCATGCAAGTGCCACAGTGAAGGGTCATGTTTGGTGGCAATGTCCTTTGATTTCTGAGCAGCTCCACAATCTCTGAGAGTTCAGTACAGGAAAGGGGACCTAGCTCTGCCAGGGGTCTGTTCAGTGAATAGAATCTGTCAACAGCCTCTGTGTCACAGTAGGACTATAGCTGTGCCTACCCCTAGACAGGGTGCTGACAACTTAGAAGTGAATCCAAAGTGCAGAGATTGTTCCTAGCAGCTGCCTTAAAGTCACTTCTCTGCAGAGCCAGACTGGAGGAGGACTGAAGAGGCTGGAATGAATGAAGACTGGCCCCCAGGGGCTGAGGCTAGAAGCTGTGGGGTCTGGAGCCTATCTCCCCATGGCAAATCTGGGATGATTATGGCACCTCAGTCATAGGGCCACTGTCAGAATAGTTCAGATCACACCGTTCATTCAGATCTGAGGGTTTATGAATGAAGAAATCAATGAATGGGGAGGTATGGGGAGAAACTGCTCCAGATGCATGCCTTCTGGATCTGCAGAACCAGACACTGCAGACTCTCACCTCAGCCCTCTAACTAGTCCAACCTACTAGCCACCACTTCTTCCCTACTCCTCACACTAACAGGTTTGAAATTCCACCACGAGATAACCTAACCTAACCGACTTCCAGCCACACGCCATTCTAGGCTGAAGGCTTGATAGAGGTGAAGGAGTGTTGAGGGGGCTGAAAACCCTGGTGAAACCTCCTCGACTCCCCCTACCCAAACTCCACCTCCAGGAAAGTGAGGACTCGGTTGAGGCAGAAGGCAGAGCCAGGCCTGGACGCCCCTAGAGGAGTGAGTTACGATGAATCCGCGCGGACTCATCCAGCGCTGGCTGGGGACTGCGTGGGCGGCCTAGGAGTAATTTGCAAGGGTGCTTGAAAGCTGGAAAACCCAGAGGAGCGAAGATGAGGAGGAGGATGCGGAGCTGAAGCCGGGAGGATATACTTCGTGAGAACAGATCTTCCTCGAGCTAAAGGGGCGCGGGGGAGCTGCAGACGCCTGGGAGGCAGGGGCGGCGGGGGGCGGCTCTGGCTGTCTTCCCGCCTGCAGCCGCGCGGGGCGGGAGCCGCCTGGGAGCCAAAGCCAATCTGCGCGCCCCTACCCAGCGCAACGCGGCGGGGGCGTGCCCCCCTCCACCCTGCCCTGGCCTTGGTGGCGCAGGGGAAGGAAGCCCTGAACCGCTATCCCAACCCCTCGGGCAGATCCGGATCTCCAAGAGGCTCAGCCCACCGACCCCGCCCAGAAGCCAGGCTGAGGTGCAAAGGAGACGACCCCACCCCTCGAAGTTGAGGGGCGGCCCTCCGCGCTCTACAGGCTGCTCCCTGGCAGAATCTTTACTTCCAGCTGGCCCAGGGTGTTCAGAGGTCAGCCGGGTCAGAACCAGCAGGGAAGTGTCCACCGGACCGACTCAGGCAAGTGGAAGCTACGAGAGGGCGAGGGCTTGGGGAAGAGCAAGGTAAGAGAAGGAGTAGGATGAGAAGACAATTTGATGAGGAGGGAATGGGGAAGAGAGTGCTTAGCGCAGCTCTGAATTCTGTGGGGAAGAGTACAGAGCCCACCTGGGCTCAGGGATCTGGAGCCTTGAGACCAAGTCTCCCGTGAGAAAGATGAAACAGGAAGGGGAGACACAGCCCTTGATTCAAGTAAGAATCTACCTTAGAACACCACGCCCTCCTCACCATCCGAAGTGTGGAGGGAAATAAGAGGTTGGCTAAGGGGAAAACAGTGAAGACAGGAGACAGACCTGGGCCCTCTGATTCATTCCTCCCACCCCCACCATCACCATCCACCATTTATTTAATTATGTTCAATGAGCGCTTGGACACTCCCTTGGGATACATCCATAAATAATGGACGTAATTCTGGTCCTTATGGAATGTCTTCAGAGACTGTAGGCCCAGATGTGGGGGAATCACAGCGAGGTTAGGGAGTCAACAGGTTGGGAATCTGGCTTTAGGAAGTTAAGGAAAGCTTCCTGAAGGCAGCTCCGTCTCTGCTGCACTTGACAAATTGAGCTGGATTAGCCAAGTGAAGATAGAGTGGATGCACGGTTCACAACCCGTATGACTCATAGTGACCCAAGTGTCCCAGAGCAGTATTGTGTGCCATGGACTTTCCAGTGGCAGAGCTTGTAGATATAGATCACTAGGTCTTTCCCCCCTCAGATGCTACTGAGTGAATTTGAACTTGCAATCTTTTGATTAGCAGACAAGCACATTAACAATTTGCACCACCCAAGGTCTCTGGTTCAGACCCAGGGACCCGTATGTTCATTAGAACACAATTATTTCAGCTCAGCTGGGGCAGGGGTGGAGTGGGAGGTGCAAATAGAAGCCAGGGTGAGACATTAGCAGTGAGGAAGCTAGAAGACTTTTCAACCATTAGGGAGGTGGTAGCAGTGGGACTTGGGAAGAAGGGATGGATTCTAGAAAAACTTGGGAGAATCTGCAGAATTTGGTGATGGTTTAGAAATGTGGAGGGAAGCCTAAGGGAGAGGAAGAGAGACAGCCCAGGTTTCTGTCTTTGGAGAAGAAAAAAATGCTGTTTAAGGCACCTAATTTGAAGAGAATGTTTTCAGGAGTGAAAGTCCTCCAAGGCCAAAGCTGTGAAGAGGGCCAGGGGGCTTAGGACTGAATAGAACTCAATTAATTCAGTGACAGGAGGCAGCTGGTGGCCTTAATGAGAAAAGAATTGGTAGCATGATGGAACAGACATCAGACTGCAGTAGATTGACTCTTGAAAAGGAAAAGAAGTGGGGAGTATAGACAGCTCTGTCAAGAAAGGAAGAGAGCATCAGCTGAGACAGTTGTGGGGCCTGAGGAAGGTTTGTTTTGAGATGGGAGGGGCATGAGTGTGTACTGAATGGAGGGAGTGTGTACTAGAGTGTGTACTGGAGGAGTGTGTACTGGAGGGAGTGTGTCCTGGAGGAGTGTGTACTGGATGGAGTGTGTACTGGAGGAGTGTGTACTGGAGGGAGTGTGTCCTGGAGGAGCGTGTACTGGAGGGACTTTGTACGGGAGGAGTGTGTACGGGAGGAGTGTGTACTGGATGGAGTGTGTACTGGAGGAGTGTGTACTGGAGGAGTGTGTACTGGATGGAGTGTGTACTGGAGGAGTGTGTACTGGA